CTGAAGGGGACGGTGCCTGCATGGGGAGAGATGGGGAGATATGGGGAGATATGGGGAGATTAGTGCTCGGGGTGGCTGAACGGGACGGTGCCTGCATGGGGAGAGATGGGGAGATATGGGGAGATATGGGGAGATTAGTGCTCGGGGTGGCTGAACGGGACGGTGCCTGCATGGGGAGAGATGGGGAGAGATGGGGAGAGATGGGGAGATTAGTACTCGGGGTGGCTGAACGGGACGGTGCCTGCATGGGGAGAGATGGGGAGAGATGGGGAGATTAGTGCTCGGGGTGGCTGAACGGGACGGTGCCTGCATGGGGAGAGATGGGGAGATATGGGGAGATTAGTGCTCGGGGTGGCTGAACGGGACGGTGCCTGCATGTGGAGAGATGGCTAGAGATGGGGAGAGATGGGGAGATTAGTACTCGGGGTGGCTGAACGGGACGGTGCCTGCATGGGGAGAGATGGGGAGAGATGGGGAGATATGGGGAGATTAGTGCTCGGGGGGGCTGAACGGGACGGTGCCTGCATGGGGAGAGATGGGGAGAGATGGGGAGATAGGGGGAGATTAGTGCTCGGGGTGGCTGAACGGGACGGTGCCTGCATGGGGAGATATGGGGAGATATGGGGAGATTAGTGCTCGGGGTGGCTGAACGGGACGGTGCCTGGCCGAGCTCACTCACACTCAGTCTTCACAGTCGTGCTCCGCGTGTGTGGTGGAGCGGGGGCGGGGCCGGCCGAGAGCTCGTTAGGGCTAGGGGTTAGGGTTAGGGTTAAGGGGTTAGGGTTAGGGGTTACGGGTCAGGGTGAGGGGTGAGGGGTTAGGGTGAGGGTGAGGGTGCCGGCGGAGAACTCGTAGGTCAGCACGCCGACGGTGTACCAGTCGCACGAGAATCCGTACTGCTCGCGCCTAATTAATTAATTAACTAATTAATTAATGGTTAGTTAATTAGTCGCAGGAGAATCCGTACTGCTCGCGCCGGTCCTTGGCCCACCGCACCTCGGGGGCCATGTAGCAGTCCGTCCCTACCGCGAAACAAAACAGAGGCGGCGGGTGGGCCGCACGGATTTCTTTTTGGGGGGGGCGGCGCCGTGAGGAAACTGTGCCGACGCGCGAGCGGCGCTTGGGCGACTTCTTTGTCACGCGCGCTGCGAGGCCCATGTCGATGAGCCGGATGTGGCCTTGCTCGTCGATGAGCAGGTTCTCGGGCTTGAGGTCGCGGTAGAGCACCGACGCCTGGTGCATGTACGCTATCACGCAGACCGTCTCCATCACCACGAACCGGACCTGGCCGGAGGGAGGGCGGGCAGGGAGGAGGCGTGGGCTGGCCCCGAGGTGAGCCGCCTCGTGGGGAGATATGGGGAGATATGGGGAGATATGGGGAGATGTGGGGAGATATGGGGAGATATGGG